GGGCGGGGGGAGCCCAGCCAGTGGACTGGGGGACAGAGAAGTCAGTGGGTAGGAGGAGGCAGAGCAGGATGGGGAGCAGGAGTGCTGGGGGGGCGGAGGCCAGAGCACCCCCCGTGTGGCGATCCCTGGTCTGGTCTCCGAGGAAATGGCACTGCAGCCACCCAGCCCAGGCCAGAAAGCTGGCCCAGGCCCCGGGGCTGCAGCTAAAAGCAGGGAGGAGGGGAGTGTGGGAAGGCGGGCCCCAGGGCCCGTGTTTACTTTGGAAGGAAGGAAGGGAGTGTTGTCCAGGCAGGAGGGACGGTGGGGCCTGCCCTAGCTCGGGGCGGAGGTGGCCACTGACGGGCCGAAGTGGGTGCTCAGAGCCAGGGGGCAAGGTGGAGGCTAGGGGACTGAGGCCAGGCCAGGCCTCAGCCGCGAAGGCGCGGTGTCCTCACCTCCAGAGCGGGACTGCTGCCACCAGGTCTCCTTGGCCAGCCAGGAGGATTCCATGAGAGCAGCCAGGTTAAGGCTTAGCTGGGGGCAGGGCCGGGGTCCCTTCTCCATTATGGTTTCTGCGCTGAGAGATGGAGCAGCTCACACCCGCCAGCCTCTTCTCCGAGGGCAGACTCTGCTGCGGCCCGGCCTCAAAGCCACGGGACTGCCCTGCTCTCCACCCAGAGCTGCCTCCCTTAAGGCAACTCATGACTCCTGACGTTCCCTAGTTCAGGGTAAATCTTATTGTTATGGAAACATTGAAAAGGGCAGAAAATAGCTTTATGAGTGGGAGTCACAGTGCCTGATCATCTCTGCTGACACTTCTGGGGGCTTCTCTTCCAGCGCAATGCTCATGCCCGGCCTCTGCCGTGGAGGAGGCTCTCCGCGGTGCTCACGCCCTACATCTGCCGTGGAGGAGGCTCTCCGCGGTGCTCACGCCCTGCATCTGCCGTGGAGGAGGTTCTCCGCAGTGCTCCAGACAGTGTCAGGGCCCAGCCTGGTGGCACCGGGAGCAAGTCGGCCCACAGTGCTGGAAGCCGCATGGCCGACCCCGGGTTCAGATCCCTGGGCCTACCTGAACACTCCCTGGGTGTGTGCTCGCCCAAGCCCTGAGGAGCTGGAGGGCTGGGAAGAGGCCTTGTCGAGAGTGCTCTCCCTCTCTGTGTCTCATGGGGCACGTGCTCTTCATCATGAATGAAATAAATCATCCTGGAAAAAAGCTGGGGCCAGACCCTCAGCCCAGTGGTTAAGGAAGCTGGATGCCACGTGGCCAACCGTGGTTCAAATCCTGGCCCCAGCAACTTGAAATGTACGTTGACCACGCATGCATGCGTGTCCAAAATCTTGGCGGGATGGAGAAGTGGAGGAGAAGGGATTGAGACGTGCCTACGTCCTGTTGAGAGGTGCTTTCTTCCTCTCCCTCTCTTTGTCTCCACCTCTCTGTCTCTCTCTGGCAAGTACACACACCCCGTGGCAAAAATTTTGACAAAGTTAGTGGCCAGATGGTGGGACACTTTCTCCGTCAGGAATAATGCACTTTATACATAGTCTTTTTCCAGATCCTTGATAACTTCCTGATAAACTGCCTGATGCATTTCCAGAAATAGAGTCACGGGTCACAAGGTACGAGTTCATTGCCAGGTCCCCTCCGGAACGGTTGGCCAGTCACGCCGCCAACAGACATGCCTTTATTACCAATCCCTGCCCGGCCTCTGGGCGTCAGCTCACTTCTCACTGCGGGGAAGGTGAAATGCATTAAATTACTGCTGTTAGTTTTTAATTTGCCAGAGGCCACTTGCTCTCAGCGCAGAGAGAGACAGTGGATGCACCCTGCAGGGCCTGGTCACATCACGACCCCTTCTCTGCATCTCACTTCCTGTCGAGGTCTGAGACGCACACGTGCACCCAGCTTTTCTCGAGCTGTCCGACCTGGGGCTCAAACTGCACAGGTGGCCGGCGGGATCCCGCTGCCTTAGCCACCAGGCCACAATTGGCCCTTCCTTTATGACTTTAGGGGGCTGGCAGGCGGTATCATGGTTAAGGCCCTGGGCATCTGCCGTGGAGGAGGTTCTCCGCAGTGCTCCAGACAGTGTCAGGGCCCAGCCTGGTGGCACCGGGAGCAAGCCGGTCCACAGTGCTGGAAGCCGCATGGCCGACCCCGGGTTCAGATCCCTGGGCCTACCTGAACACTCCCTGGGTGTGTGCTCGCCCAAGCCCTGAGGAGCTGGAGGGCTGGGAAGAGGCCTTGTCGAGAGTGCTCTCCCTCTCTGTGTCTCATGGGGCACGTGCTCTTCATCATGAATGAAATAAATCATCCTGGAAAAAAGCTGGGGCCAGACCCTCAGCCCAGTGGTTAAGGAAGCTGGATGCCACGTGGCCAACCGTGGTTCAAATCCTGGCCCCAGCAACTTGAAATGTACGTTGACCACGCATGCATGCGTGTCCAAAATCTTGGCGGGATGGAGAAGTGGAGGAGAAGGGATTGAGACGTGCCTACGTCCTGTTGAGAGGTGCTTTCTTCCTCTCCCTCTCTTTGTCTCCACCTCTCTGTCTCTCTCTGGCAAGTACACACACCCCGTGGCAAAAATTTTGACAAAGTTAGTGGCCAGATGGTGGGACACTTTCTCCGTCAGGAATAATGCACTTTATACATAGTCTTTTTCCAGATCCTTGATAACTTCCTGATAAACTGCCTGATGCATTTCCAGAAATAGAGTCACGGGTCACAAGGTACGAGTTCATTGCCAGGTCCCCTCCGGAACGGTTGGCCAGTCACGCCGCCAACAGACATGCCTTTATTACCAATCCCTGCCCGGCCTCTGGGCGTCAGCTCACTTCTCACTGCGGGGAAGGTGAAATGCATTAAATTACTGCTGTTAGTTTTTAATTTGCCAGAGGCCACTTGCTCTCAGCGCAGAGAGAGACAGTGGATGCACCCTGCAGGGCCTGGTCACATCACGACCCCTTCTCTGCATCTCACTTCCTGTCGAGGTCTGAGACGCACACGTGCACCCAGCTTTTCTCGAGCTGTCCGACCTGGGGCTCAAACTGCACAGGTGGCCGGCGGGATCCCGCTGCCTTAGCCACCAGGCCACAATTGGCCCTTCCTTTATGACTTTAGGGGGCTGGCAGGCGGTATCATGGTTAAGGCCCTGGACTCCCACGTGGCCAACCGTGGTTTCAGTCCCAGATCCAGAGGCTTTCCAGATGGAAAGACAGAGACAGACAGAGAGGGAGGTGGACGGGAGGCAGCAGCCTGCAGTGGGCGTGGCCACGCTGCACCCCCTCCCCCAGTTCTCCACCTGTCAGGGTGTGGGGCACGCACGCACCTGCAGCCAAGGCGTTTTTCAAGCCACTGGGCAGCCAGTCACGTGGGTTGGCCCCCTTAGCCACTAGGCCAGCGGGCCTTCTCATGAAAGTGATTTTCCCCGAATTCAACTCTTCGTGTTGTGTTTGCTCTGGGGTGGCTCTGGGGCAGCTCTGTGTGACTCTGGGATGGCTCAGGGTGGCTCTGAGGTGGCTCGGGGTGGCCTGGGGTGGCCTGGGGTGTGTGGATCCGGTGTCTCTGAGCAATGTGTTCCCACCGGCTGGCCCAGCCATTCTTTCTTGGGCACCCATGGCTGACATCCTGGTAACGAGATGTGACCTCATGACGCCAAAATTATGCCGTGGCCAAGTCCGGTGAAGTTATGCCGGTAGCCACTCACACAGTGAACGGTGGGCAGGGGAGACCAGAGAGAGAGGGTGGGGTCATGCGTGCAGGATTGAGGGGGCTCCATGTGCCCGGGGGGCAGAGCCTGATGCCTGGCTGAGAGGTGGCATCTCTGAGTCATTTTCCTGGAAATACTGTTGAAATGGGGAGTTCCCAGAATGAGGAAGAGGTGGATGGGACTGTGGGAGCCAGTAAAGTGAGGTCAGGTGAGCTGGGAGGGACCCCAGAACCCCGAGAGGGGTGAGTGGACCCTCCTTGAGTCCAGAACGTGGACTGCTGTGGCCTGGCTCACCGGACCTGGTGGCAGACCCCCCTGAGCAGGGCTGCACCCCTGTCCCCAGGACGGGTCTGTGGGGGGAGCAGGGAACTATGGTGGCCTGGCCCTCCCTGCTCTGCCACGCTGTCACCCGGTCCCTTATCAGACCTTATGTTAGTCTGGCTTCCCCCAAGAGCAGACCCCGAGAGAGACTTGGGCACAAGTGACATGTTTGAAAGGTGGCCTCAGAAATGCCATGGGGCAGTGAGGAGACGCTACAAGGAAGAGTCAGGAGAGGGCTGTTTGCCCGGGGACTGGCCTTGGCAGGGCACCCTCGGAGGGACCGAGTGGAACTGCAGGGATCCTCTCAGAGCTGTTGCAGAGAGGCGAGACAGCAGAACCCCAGCCGGTGTGGGCCCAGGGAGCTGGCCGCGCTGGGCAGGCAGGGGTAGGAAGCCTTCGGGTGGCAGACCCTGAAGGTGCCTCGGGGCCAGAGACCGGGAGGGACCCACGTGAGGGTCACGGGTAACTTTCTCCAGAGAAGTGGGCCGCCTGCCAGCCACCCCGGCCGGGCTCCTCCCGTTGTCCTCTGCTGTCCAGGCCCGTCCCCACCCCAGCTCTGACCATGTGCACCCCCAGCCCGTCCAGAACTGGCAGCCCAGTTAGCTGTCCCCATGTGACCGGGGACGGAGCACCGGGTCAGCTAACTGACGGCTCCCAGCGGCCCCGCGTCTCCTCAGGGAAGCGTTTGAAACGGTTCCTGCCACTGCTCTGCCTTCACTCAGAGGCCCTCAGTGTCTTCCACTTTCGTGTCTGAGGCCGCGGGTCCTCGAGGCCAGCAGCTGGACTCCTGGAGCAGTGCAGAGCGACTGGCCGCGTCGCCCCCGTCCCTGCCTTGGCCACGCCACGCGGCAGAGGGGCGACAAAGGCCTAGCGTTGGTGGGAGGGCGGAGAACTCGGGGTTTCTGAGCCTCTCGTGGGCTGCGTCGGAAAACGAACAAACCCCGGCCATTCAGACTCGACCTGGAGACGCCCGGCAGGTGGAGCGTGTGCACGCAGGACCGGGCGCCACATCCCCTTCCGGGAACCCCACGGCTGCAGTTACCAGCCGATCAGGTGCTCTGTGTCCTGGCCTCTGTTCTGAGAAGTCTGCAGGAAGTTCCTTTTGGCTTTAGATGCTAAGAGACTTTGTATTTGGGTGCTGAGAATCTGGGGCCAACTTTGCAGGGGGGGTGAGTGCTGGTCGGACCACCTGGGCCAAGCCCGCCAGCCCAGTTGCCCCGCTCCCCAGCTCCCTAATGGGGTGATAGGGTTAATCAACGCTTGAGTGCTGTGGGGCTGGGGGTCTCCACACCCAGGCAGGGGTGCAGCTCCCTCCGTGAGGAGGGAAGCAACTGGAGGGATTTCTGCCCGCAGGCAGGCTGCAGGCAAGGTGGGGCCGGGGAAGGAATGCGGTCAGGGGGTCAGGGCGCAGGGCCCTCCCAGGCGTGGTGCCAGGGCCAGGGCGACATGCCTGAAGAGAGAAGTGGTCTGAGGCTGGGCTTTGCAGACAGAGGACAGGGCTTGCCGGTGGGCGCGGGTGGGGGTGCCCAGAGGAGGGATGGGATGTGCTGTGTGCACACAGAAGATGAATGCAGCTATGCGGCCCTTCTCGCTTGTTTTCTTCATTTCTCTTTTTATCATTTATTTATTTGCAGCCTTTCTCTTTGCCCTACTGGAGTACTGACAGTGGAAGGAGAGGAGGTCTTTGCAGGTCGTTTACTGAGTCCCACTCTGTGACCTTTGACTCTTTATTTCCCTCTTCTCTACCCCATTTTCCACCTATACCAGTTAGCTTTAGGGGGATTTCAGCCTCAATAACATTTCATTAATATTATTATTGTTATAAATTTCCTTTTTAACACACAGGTCCTAACCCGTATGACTCTTTTTCTACTATTAATTTTTCTTATATTCACGATAGAGCGTGCACATGCACACACACACACACAAAGAGAGAGAAGAGCAGGGCCTCGTCAGGCTGCGGTCCCTCCCTTAGTCTTCAGCCCTCTGGATCCTGGGCGCTTGCATGGGTGCCTTCCGTGCTTGGAGCTGAGCAAGCTGGCAGTTCAAAGCCCAAAGTCTCCATGTGGGATTGGGCTTCTCTGAGCAGTGCATCACCACCACAGCACGGAGCAGGCTCTCACCTACGTGACTTACTGGTCGTCCTTCTCCAAGTTCCCACCTTCTTCCACCTGGGATCAGACATCTCTGAGGGCTGAGATGGAATGACAGCCCTTGACGGGGAAGTCTTGGTTAGAGCGAGGTGCGGCCCTCACACGGGGAGGGGCCCGGTGTCACCCCTGCTTTGGGTCCTGTGGACATGGGAGGAGCAGAATCTCTGCACAGACCTTAGCAAACATACTTCTGGGGATTTGTTTCAGAACCCCCTTTCCCAACTTGGAGAACTGTGTTGTGCCTCGCAGTAACCCTGGTTGTCATCGGAATAATTTTCACTTGGATGCGATACATAAGGAGAAACCACTGAGGGAAAAGACAAAGTTGGCCCAAAGGTGAGTCGTAGCCGTAAGATTATCTACCAGGCTGTTTATTTAAAGTGAGGGATCAACATTTTGATTGCTGGATAAATTAGACATCTTTTAAGATGAATTAGACTTTGCTTGAACCTATTATTTTGCAATTTTCAAGTTTGAGAGGATATTAATATAAACACACAAGAGCCCACCTGTACCGAGCTCTGAAGGGGAAGAGGGTTTTCCATCACAGGGGAGGACCCAGCTGTCATTCTGGGAGAACCAGCAGTGTCACCATTCCATCACCTGGACTGCGCCATGGGGAGACACCGATGGCAGTGATTGGCATGGGGGCCAGGGGTGATGAAGAAATGGACCCAACCCCGCCTATGAGTGGGGGCCGGGGCTATGGAGTCATCTGGAAAAAGCAGGGTCCCTGGAGCTGTCGTCACTCAGTCTCAGCATCTAAGATCTGATTCTGAATATCAAGAACTTCCCAGATATTGCTAAGGTAACCAGGCACTAATCACCCTGACCTCACCCCAGGCGGCTGGGGAGGGGGCACCCTGGGGCCTGCCACCTCCTAGCTCAGTACCCCCTGACCTGGGGGCGGGAGGGCAGGCCCGGAACCTCTGTGTGCCCTGACGGTCGCTCTGGTTCTTGGTCTCTCTCCAGATGATGTGACCCTGGATCCAGACACGGCTTACAGGTGCTCTGCGGGGCAGAGCGAGAGCGAGGCGTGCCGCCCGGGTGCCAGCACAGGGTGGGCTCGGGTCTGGTCCCAGCACCCCTGAAGTGCATGGCTGCATGTTCCAAGGGTGCCTGAGGAGACCTGGCTCACTGCAAGTGCAGTTGTGAGCTCCAGGTGACGGGAGCAGGCAGTATTGCTGTGCTCCCATCAGCGAGAGACAGAGGACACCCAGTCATAGCCCAGTGACAGGCCTCCCACCTCTCAAAGCCGGGGTGCTCCTCCTGTTACCCCAGACAACATTCCGTCTGCCTCAGTTCCAGGACCCTCTATCGGAGACGCGTTCAAGGTCCACGAGGCTAATTAATACTCCTCCCCACATCGTAGGACTATGAGGAGGTCGCTCTGTCACCAGTGGGCACTAGTTTTCCAGAGCCCAGACGTCCCTGAGAGCTCCTGAAGGACTGGACGCCATGGCGGGGAGAGCCACCCACCCACCCTTTATCACAGCAGACGCCAGACTTGCAGAAAAGCTCGCAGTTCCCCAGCTCACGGCATCCAGTGAGCTTGGGAGGCAAGAGTTCACTATTTGAATACATGTTACTTACATTAACCTATAAATGGCTTATTACTTTTCTTTTAACACAATTTATTTTTTTAAGACTCAGTTTGTATCCCTAAAGACGAAACACGAATAGATATTAACCCAAACTAAGAACACGTCGGGCCCTCAGTAATGTTTAGGTGTCCAAAGGCGTCCTGAGGCTGGAAGGCTTGAAGCCTCTGCTGTCCTCTGCACCTCAGCCTGGACAGATCCTGGTGCCACCTGCTTCCAGGGCCTGAGACTGCAGCCATCCTCAGGGACCTGGCGCGGGGACACTGGGGCCAGCGCGGACACTGGGGTCCTGGCCTTCTGGGGCCTACACTGTGCCCAGGAGGCTGCCTTGCCCAGCCAGGCCTCCAGCTGGGCCTTCGCCCCTCTCCCACCGCCATCTGCTCTCCCTCCCCCAGGAGCTCTGCGGTCCTGTCCGGCCCTGTGGCCAGGTAGGTCCCAGTGCAGGATCTGGAGCCCCGCCCGCCGCCAGGACGCAGCCCCGACCCAGCCCAGGAAACCGCGGGTGTCCTGCCCATGGCTCCTGGCCCTCTCCTGCTGACCGAGCAGCCAGGACCTCCCTGAGAATGACCCCTCGGGGGTCACCAGCAAAGGAGTCGCTCAGGTCCCCGGGATGGGGATGGGGGCTGGGCCGAGTGAGGGAAGGAAGCGGGGCAGGGGTCCTCGGGGACAGGGAAGGAGGGGGCCGGTCGCCAGGGACGGACACAGCCCAGAGCTGGGATGGCCGGGACTCCTCACAGGGCGGCGACCCCAGGGAACCGGTCCTGCGGGCGCCCCGTCCCCGCCCCGAGCATGACCAGGCCGCCCTCGGGCACCGCGGCCCCCGCAGCCCCGGCGAAGGCCGGGCAGACGCGCAGGGGGCTGTCGTCGGAGCCCAGTCGCAGGAGGGGCCTCAGGGGGCCCGCGAAGACTGCGCGGGGACACGTGTAGAGGTGCGACCTGTCCCTCGCGTCGTAGAAGGAGACGTCGCCCGCGTCGCAGTCCAGGAAGAGGGCGACGCGGCGCAGGCGCCCCCGCACCGGGAGGACCCTCTCAGGCGCCGGGGACTGGCGGCTGAACAGCTCCAGGGTCCAGAAGCCGTTCTGCGGGCTGAGCGGGGCCTCGCCCTTGCGGTCCGCGCTGTCGCGACACACCCCCACTGCCCACACCATCGCGCCGCCCACCGCCACCTCCCAGCAGTGCTTCCCCGCCCAGAAGCGGTCCCGGCCCAGCACGCACGGCCGGCAGTCGAACCTCTGCGGGGTGTCGGGCACGCGCCGCCGCCCGGGGCCCCGCCGCACGCTCCTGCGGTCCTGCGACAGGAAGAGCTCGGGGTGCGCTCCAGCACCACGTCGGCTGCGGAGCGGGGCTCGGGTGAGGCCGCGGTCTCAGGGTCCCCGCGCGGCTGGGACGGGGCCGCCGTGGGCTGGCCCTGCCTAGGAAGGCCCCTTGACTGCAGCGGCCTCCGAAGCCAGGACGCCCCAGGACCCGCGACCCCGCGGGTCAGGCCAGGTGCGCCTCTCACCGCCCAGGGCCCTCCTCGGTGCAGGGTCCCATCTGGGGCCCTGCCGGGCAAAGGAGGAGGGCAGACGCCCCAAGGCCACCCTGCCTGGAGCCAGTGGCCCGCAGCGGATGCCCTCGGCGCCTCTGCACCAACAGTGTCTGTGCCTGCCCCGCCAGGGACAGGGACGCTTCGGGGGCCACTGCAGACTCTGCGGCCCCACCGCTGCTGAGTTAAGGGACCCACCTCGCGGTGTGGCTGTGCAGGTGGATGTGCTGTGTCCCATGTCACTATGTGTGGCATGTAGTGTGTGGGATGTCCTATGTTGCTCTGTGTGTGACGTGCCATGTATGATGTCCCATGCCCCGTGTGTGACAGTGTATGCTGTCCCATGTTGGTGCACGTGATGACATGTGCAGTGTCCCATGTCACTGTGTCACAGTGTGTCTGTGTCCCATGTTGTGTGACAACTTGGGACCCACCCAGAGAGGGAAGGCCCACACCACGTGTCTGGCTCAGTGCAGGAACAGAGGTGAGGGAGGGAGGTGAGGGAGGGGGGCTGGGGGCTGTGCTCTCGCCTGGCTGCCTACAGAGGGTCTGCGTGCCCCGGGAGGGGAAGGAGCGTATGCCTCCAGCCGGTCGGGCCCCTGGGCTCTGTGGTGGGGACCCACAACCACTCCCAGCCTGTCCAGCACCGGGCCATCCTGCGTCCTCCCAATGCAGCTGGGCCCCAGGGGCCCCAGTGAGGCCTGCTGCACAGAGACTGTGCAGAGACCCCTGCGGTCACAGACCATGAACCCACAAGGCAGGAGCACTTACGGGGAGAAAGAGACAGACAGAGGGGAAGTGAGAAGTCACCCAGTGGTGGCCACGCACAGTCCCTTCTCCATTCGGGATTTTGGGCATGCACGCATGTGCACCTGCCCCTGGTTCTGGGGCTAGAACCACACCTGGCCATGTGGAACCCAGTGCCTTAGCCACCGTGCCGCCTCCTGACCCGGATTACACTGGTTTTGACAGGCAAGGACAGTGGGGAGGAAGCTGCAGGCCTGCTCCCAGCTGCTCCTAGCTGCTCCTGTGCAGACCCCACCCACCCTCCGGCTGACCCCTGGATCCCTGGCCGAGGGCCTGTCCGCTGCCAGGAGAGGAAGCGCAGACTCGGAGGGGAGGCCGTGGTGCTCACCAGCATGTAAGAGGGTCCTCCTCCACCCTGTGAGGGACAGACGGGGCACTGTCACGTGGCTGTGGCCGGCGAGCAGGGCAGTGGGCTGTTCGGGAAGGGCTGGACTTACGCAGTTCTTCCTGGAGCTGCTCTGGAAAGGGAGCAGAGGACGGCTGTGGTTGTGGGGGACAGGGCGGCGGATCTGTGCTACACAACACGGGCCGGGCCTTCCTGCCTGACCTCAGGGCCGTAGGGACCTGGATAGGCCTGGCGGTGGAGTGGCCCTCCTTTCTTGCTTTGGGCTTTGGCTCACAGTTCTGGGCTGGGGAGGAGGGAGTGGAGGCCATGGGGGCAGAGGGAGGGAGCCAGCTCCGGGCGAGCTCCTGGGACCCAAGCGCACCAGCCAGCCATGGCCAAGGCACTTCTGTTCCTGCCTGTCATGGCTGTCCTCCTAACTGCCGTTCTCTCTGTCCCCACACGCTCCCTCCACAGCGCCTTACGTGGTGTGGTCTCTCTCTCCCCGCGGCCGACCTCCTCTCCGGCTGACTGGCTCTTCCCGTCCCTGTGGAGCTTCTGGATGACACAGATGCCTGAGGCCAGGAGGAGGGTCAGGGTCGGCAGGATGGCAGCCAGGGCCACTGTCCAGGGAGCCCCGCTGGGCACGAGGGACTCTGAAGATGGAGCCAGAGCAGTCCCGTGTGGGGAGGAACGGCAGGCTGGGATGCGCAGCTGCAACCCTCAGCGCCTACTCTATGGCGTCTCGCTTGGAGACCCCAGTAGGAGGGAGATGCGCTGCCCCCTGCCCTGCCCCCCTCCAGCCACTCCCCACACGGCAGCCCGACAGCTCTGCGTGCTCCCGTCCAGACCCTCATGCATCCTGCTCCCCTGGGCAGGTTCGGCGAGGCGTCCACAGGACCAGCTCTCCCCCGTCTGGATCGTCTCCCAGCTCCCTGAGTGCCTGCATCTGCGAGGGGGCAGCCACACCTCATGGGGTTCCTGAAACTGCGCCCCCCTCCAGCCACTCCCCACACGGCAGCCCGACAGCTCTGCGTGCTCCCGTCCAGACCCTCATGCATCCTGCTCCCCTGGGCAGGTTCGGCGAGGCGTCCACAGGACCAGCTCTCCCCCGTCTGGATCGTCTCCCAGCTCCCTGAGTGCCTGCATCTGCGAGGGGGCAGCCACACCTCATGGGGTTCCTGAAACTGCCACTCCCCTACCCCAGGCCCAAGCACAGCTGCTCCCACGCCTGGGTGGTTCCTTGCCGATCACGGGTCTCCATCTTCACACTGAGGTCTCCTGGGACGTCTTGTCACCAACCCACTCCCACTCCCAGCCCGGTTCTCCTAGCATAGCCATCACTGCCTCGTACAAACACAGCCCCACTAGTTACTCACTTGTGATGGCCCCACTGACTTACCTCCGTCCACACGGGGACAGTCCCACTAGTTACTCACTTGTGATGGCCCCACTGACTCACCTCCGTCCACACGGGGACAGTCCCACTAGTTACTCACTTGTGATGGCCCCATTGACTCACCTCCGTCTACACTGGGACAGTCCCACTAGTTACTCACTTGTGATGGCCCCATTGACTCACCTCCGTCTATACTGGGAGCTTAGTGAGGGCAGTGGTCTTGGTCCGCTCACTGACTCTCCCTGGATCTAGACCCGTGTCTAGAAGTGTTTGTGGAGGATTTGGTGAAGGGATTCACGGTGTCGCAGGCAGGGAACTTCCCCAGCCCTGTCCCTTGAGGGCCCCCGTGGGCAGGAAGGGGATGCTTGGCAGGCAGCCCTGCAGGCATGGAGCTGCTGCCCACACCACCTCCGTGTCCCGGGACTGTCCCTGATGGTTACAAAGCGCCCGATGCGAGGACCACAACTTGGGAACAGGCTGGGCACATGCTCCCAGAAGGGGCTCCTGCTCTGGCATCAAGGGACTGTCCCCCTCTCTCTGTGACAGCAGGACGGGCCTCGGCCCAGCTGCAGCCTCGCCTCTCCCGGGCCCGGGGGTCCACACACTCCCATCCAGTACCACTCCGGTGTGCTGGGAGCCCAGCGCCAGGGGGCTCACGAAGAGCAGAGCACTGACCTGGGATGAAGATCACAGCGTCCTTCTCCTGGCCGAGCAGGGGGTTGCTGACCACACAGGTCACGTTCCTCATGGTGCCGTCTGTGACGAGCACAGCCGTGGTGATCGTGAAGAGGCCATCGGCCCCCGCAGTGGACACCTCCTCCAGGGCAGGCACAACCTCGCCGTCAGGGCCCCTCCACAGCACGCGGGGCTCTGGGTACCACCCTGCAGACGTGCACTCCAGCCAGACGGCCCCATCCTCACGGCCCTTCATCTCTATAAGGGGTGTGGAGCCCAGGCCTGGGGGAGACCAGGGCTCTGCTCCAAAGGCTGCCGGGTCTCGGCCAGTGGGGTGGGCAGGTCTGCTCAGCGGTGGCCCAGGGAGGGGACAGCAGGGAACACCCAGTGCCATGGTCCTGCAGGACCTGCTCCAGGAAGGGGAGGCAGGAGGGCAGAGGGGGCGTGGGGCAGGAAGCAGCTGGGTGCTGGAGGCCACCAGAGACCAGAGCAAGCGCGAGGGAGCCGGAGGCCACCAGAGACCAGAGCAAGCGCGAGGGAGCCGGAGGCCACCAGAGACCAGAGCAAGCGCGAGGGAGCCCTCTGGGAGTACCAGGTGCCCGGCAGGCTGCTCTTCGGCTCCGCCTGCACCCCACTACCCACTCTCTGCCCCTGCGCAAGCCAGGGAGGCTGCGGTGCGGCTCACTGGGGTGCAGGCGTGCTCTCTGCCATCCGGTGGGTGCCTGCAGGCCCTGGCACAGGCAGGCCGGGCCTCCTCTACTCCGAGAGGCTCTCAGCAGACACTGGTGTCCCGGAGCTCAGAGGACCTGCAGAGACCCACAGGCTGGCATCTTTTTCTTTCAAAAAAAGAAAAAAAGAAAAAAGAAAAAAAAAGAAAAATGCTATTTACTTGTTCTGCAAGAGAGACACAGAGACTCAGAACAAGAGAGAGAGAAGCATGCATCGTGAACAGGGTCTTCACCGTGTGGGATCAGCCATGTCGCTGCTGGGCCACCACTGAGCACCAAGGCCAGCAGGGTCTTAAGGAACTTTTAATTTATTTATGTAGAGAGATTTTTGCTATAGAGTACGTGCGCTCGCCTGAGAGACAGAGAGACAGAGAGAGAGAAAGCCTCCCCAGGGGGATGGTCATGCCGCAGGCCTAGGGCTTCCCGGTCACTTTTATATCTGCCAAGACAAAAGCACGAAAAACCCGGCCTCCTCTCAGGACTCACATGGGACAGTGGGAATCAAAGTGGCGTAGCGCTTTGGGGAGTACCTGCTGCACCCCACCCGTCCTTGGGTGGAGGGGACGATAGACGCGAGGGTGAGCCCGCACTCGGACGCGCACCAAGAAGCGAAGTGAAACGAAAACATGTACAGCTCTGACCCTGGTGCGAGGGGGCAGGCCAGACCAGGTCACAGTTCGGGAAGGGGATGGGGGCTCCTGCGTCACGCACACCCAGCAGCCTGGCGCGGAGGGGACCCAGGCCGGAAAGACCTCTTCTCTGAGCAGTTCTGACGCTGCTCGGTGGCCCCCATTACGCCGTCCCTGCTCAGGCCACACTGGCCCTGGCCCTTGGCTTCAGGGCTGACATGCTTCCCCTGGTTCTTGGGGGTCTTCAAGGCCTTTTCAGTTCCCCATGTTTCTCTTTAAGAATAGCATGTGGGGCCAGGAGATGACCTGGTGGTTAAGGTGTTGACTGCAGTTTGAGTCCCAGCCCCAGCAGCCTGAAAATCATGCCGAGTGAAGGTGAATGTGCATGTGTGTCCAGAATCCCAGGAGAAGGAAGGAGAAGGGACTGCAGTGTGAACACCCAGGGGGTGGGGTGTGCGTGTGAGAGATTTCTCACTTTCCCTCTCTCTGGTGAGTGCACACACCCTAATAAAATAAAATAACCATGCTGACCCCAGGAGGGACGCTGTCGCCTGCAGCCACTGTAGTGGGCCTCTGCAGACCCACCACTCCTGCCTGGCCAGAAGCCCTGGTGTGCTCTGTCACCGAGTCCCCACCCCTGTCCCCATGGGCACTGGCCAGAGTACAGGGTTCCACCCCGCCTATCCATGCCTCAGTGGAGCCACCCACCAGCACAGGGTCACACTCCCTGCCGGTGCTGTCTGGGGAAGGGACAGAGACAGAGGAGGCCCATCCTGCCGGGCCAGCAAAGGTTTGAATCCGGGCCCTAAAGCCTTCACACCTGGCTTGTGCTCTGAGCCCCGCATCTTGACAGGACAAAGGGGGAAGACAAAGGTGGGGTGTTCCCTCTC